TTCAATGTATTCATATGTTTGAGTTGTATCATCACTTGAGCTTGTTGGTATTGGATTTAAATTCATTTGATCAGTAGGAACGTCATTTGAAGGATTTGACAATGAATCAGTTGTATCCGAACTTGATAAATGAACTACATCCATTGAGAGAGTATTCGTATCCATTCCTTCATCTCCAGTTTCTGATGAAGTTGAAATAGTTGAGGATTTCACTGTTTCTTCATAGTAATTATATGTTTGAGTTGTATCATCACCAGAGCTTGTTGGTATTGGACTTAAATTCATTTGATCAGTAGGAACGTTAATTGAAGGATTTGACAATGAATCAGTTGTATCCGAACTTGATAAATGAACTACATCCATTGAGAGAGTTTTCGTATCCATTCCTTCATCTCCAGATTCTGATGAAGTTGAAATAGTGGTGGATTTTATTGTTTTTTCAATGTATTCATATGTTTGAGTTGTATCATCACCAGAGCTTGTTGGTATTGGATTTAAATTCATTTGATCAGTAGGAACGTTATTTGAAGGATTTGACAATGAATCAGTTGTATCCGAACTTGATAAATGAACTACATCCATTGAGAGAGTTTTCTTATCCATTCCTTCATCTCCAGATTCTGATGAAGTTGAAATAGTGGTTGATTTCACTGTTTCTTCAATGTTGTCATCTGTTTGAATTGTATCTTCACCAGCACTTGTTGGTTTTGTTCTTAAGGTTTTTTTTATTGGTTGGCACATCACTTATTGTTATTGCCAATAATTCCTTTGAATCTTTTTTGTTATTTGAAACATTTGCCTTTTGATATTCAGTCGGTGTTGTTAATTTTGGATTCATGATCTCCGATTCTAATATATTTAATAATTTATTGTTTTTCTTTGTTATATCATTTGGCGTTTTTGAATATAAATAGTTCGCGTCGTATAAGATTGATTTTTCGTTCTTTCGATTTTTGTGTTTATCATATCTTATGAATTCTTCAATTATTAAAGCCACCCCGATTTGTAACCTTTTTTTTTATGTCTTCATAACAGTTGTTTTTGTGTTCTTTTTCTTTTATGTATGTAATTTTTTTTCAAATATTTAGTTATTATTTTGTACATATATCTTGCATTTTCAACATTTGTAGCTAGTATTCTGCCATATGTATTATTGTTTGTTTGAATTTCATCTTTAATTGATAATTTTTTGGATATATTCTTTACGTGCTTTTCATAAAATTTTATTAAGTGGATACTTTTTTTTTTTTCTATCCATCGATTTGGTGTTAATTTTAAAGTATAAAAAAAAAGATTTATTCATGTCATGGAAAAATGTTTTATAATCTTGCGTATTGTTAGGCACTATTGTATCATAATATTCACATTTTCTTAATGGAGGAATTAGGAGTTCTGTATTCAAAAATATTTTCATCTTTATAGATTTAGACAATTCCTGAATAGATCTTTGTTTTAAATCAGAATTCGGCTCAAATTGTGACTCTATATATTCTATATTATTTTCCATGTATTGTTGAATACATTCTGTTACTTTGTTATTCATTTTTTTTAGATTTGTCCAGATCTTCTACTATATAAAGTGCTTTATTTTGGACTATTTCGTCATTAACGTGGTATTCTTTTATAGCTTTATACAAAGTTTTTAATGAGGCATCGTAAACCATGTTTGATGCCACATTTGTAAGCTGTATAATACTCATTAAGTACATTTTGTCACACTTTTCATCGTCAGGCCAGTATGGTAATTTTGAATTGATTGGATTTGTTTGTAACCAATCTAAAATATTAAATATGTTATTTTTATTATTAGCTACATCATCCCACAGTTCGGAAATGATATTTGATCCTTGAAAAGTAGTTGAATATGTGCTATATTTGTACAACGTATTTAGTTTCTCATTTACGTCTCTTAAATGGTTTTTAATGAATTGTTCTCTGTCCACATTTTCCATATTATATCCATTCACCATACATATTACGATATTGTTTAAATTCTTTACTTCATTTACTATCGCATAAATGTATGATTGAATTACGTTTCTCTTGTGTTCGTCGATCGTCGTTAATTCAACCCAACGCATTAGTTTATCATTGTTACTTATAGATGTATCCTCCATTGAGTACAAGTATTTATTTACAATATCACGAGATTCAATTTTAATATCCTTGTCATACCATCCCGACTGAATCATATTTATTCGATCAATTGATATTTTTTCTAATGATTTGTCATCAATGTCACTATTGCGATAAAATAAACTACTTTTTTTTTAATTTATCGTTTATATCACTAACAAAATTTTTGAGAGGAATATTCATGAAGTCAATTATGTAATTCATACTTTTTGAGACATATTCTTGAAATTCTAATGTTAATTTTGGAAGATTTGTTTTATCATATTTATACATATCATTTATATGTTTTGTTATTGTAATGATGTATGTAAAAAGATTATATCCCATATAATCAAACATACTTTTGGACAAGTTTAAATCAAACCATGAAATAATATCAGTTTTTAGCCAATTCATATGACTCGATTTTGAGTTATAAAAAGTTGTAATTGCTTCGATATACAATTTATAGATCTCGGCTATTTGTTTTCGCGTATACTTACGTAAATCAACATTACTCTCGTACATTAATTCATCATTTTTTTTTATCTGTATAAATAAAAATGAAAAACATTTAACTATGTTTTTTTATCACTTAAATACATAAGAAAAATATGAATATCTTCTACATTTTTTTAAATAAAATACTAAAAGAGGACTATCATCATTAAGATTATAATATAAATTCAACGATAAGTTAAATGTATAATTTGTATTCTGTTCTCGTTACTATGATTCATAAAAATATCAATACTTAAAGTAAGTTTTGAATACCAAACGCTACATAAAAAGTATGAATCTTATTCATAAATAAATCATTTCATTAATTTTTAGGTAGCATAATTGAATTTATGAAGGAATTTATTATTGTTTTTATTAAATGCTGATTAATTTATCAAAGAAATATTAAAAAACCAGAAGACTTAAATTTATGATGCCCTTACTTGTTCGTTTTCCTTTTGAAATTCAAAACTAAACTTTTGAAGAAAATTAAATACTTCGATGTACGATGTGGTACTAAATGACACCGCGTTAACCGTTTCATTAAAAATATCCAAGTACAATTTTTTCATCTCCAAGGAATTCACATTAGAAATATGTTGTAGTTGAATTCCCAATTCAATAAATCTATCGTCTACTTGACTTGTTAACAATATCATTTTATTCATAAAATCGAACATTTCGTCTTGGATTGTATTCCACAGCGTGTATGCCGTTTTTATATCTTCATCTTCTATGATGTTTTGAAGCAGGTCAACTTTAGAAACAAAATCCTCAATCTTCTGGGAAGCTTCCCTGAATCGTAAAAATTGTAGCTGTGGGCCATGACTTTCGTCGGAAACCTCGGCTGAAGGTACGAGCGTAGACGCTATATCATAATTAGAATAAGTCGAACCCGATATTGGTAATCCGGCATCAATAAGCATTTTATACGTCAAATGGTATATATTACAGTATGCCATAGTTGTTGTCCATAATAAGTCGTAGGGCGATATTACGTCGATACTGTCTAATTGATCGATGTAATCCGATGAAATACAATATCGGCCGGGCACCTAAAAGTACAACAATCGTTTAGCCGAACCAAGAGAATGGAATATGATAATAAATACACAGTAAAGAATCATTTTTTTTAAGAAGATACCCACACAATTATAAATTAATGCAAAAATAATTGAAAATTGTTTCATCGTAAAAATAATTTAAACAATATAAAATAGAAATAAAAAACAAAATAATCAAATGTTTCACATCAATAGTACGATACAAGTATTTTATATTTTTTTAATTATTTCAAAAAGTGTTTAAAAAAAAACGCTAGGCAAAATTAACAAATATGTATTATATAAAAAACAACTACGATCGAACTATTGTTAACAATCCATAAATTTTAAATGTATAAATATAGACATTTTCATATAACATTTTTTGTAGATAATTTTCAACAGTACAAACAAACGACATGTCAAAAACTAAACAAACCTGTAATTAACGTAATGCCATTACCTACGCAAATTAAAACCGATGAAGACTGCTAACGCACTATGTGTTTTAATATACAGGATGGAATTTTATTTAATGTAAAAACTGATATATGTACGGACTTTGGAGGGTTTAAAACCAAAATGACATCCGTATCATTAAGTTATTCCTGCTCGATTACCAATCGTTTATGAATTACCAAATTCGATTCACTACGGTTAAACAATAATATTATACTCGCACGTTTTTTCTAACGAAAACTTGTACTTTTAATCTAATTTTAATTAGTATAATTTAAACATCACGTAATTTTTTCTGTACATATTACAGTGATACTTGTAATAATCTAGTTGTTTGTTGTGATTTACATGTCAACTTGTATGCCGTGCTTGACTTGGAAAAAAAAAATTAGTAGAGGTACTCTGATGACAGCAGTGTTGATCCAAGATAAATACTTTTTTATCTAGATATAGATAAAGATAATTTACCAAAAATCTATCAAGATCAGTGCTTCACAACCTTTTTCAAACTGCCGCCCCCCTAAGAAACAACATTTTTTTCAATGCCCCTCCCCCTTCACTTCATTAATATAAAAATAAAAATAGTATACATGAAATGTTTATAATTGAATAATAAATAATACAGATATAAATGTAAATATAGTAAAAATAAAATGTAAAATTTATGTTTAAATATAATTTAAAAGGATAATTTAAATGTTTTGAAATGTATTGATCAGTGAAATGCTTGGTGATTCAAAGCCAATTTTTTTACGTTTTGTTCAAAATTTGTGAGATGAAGCCGTAAGTCTCCTCTTTTAACGATATCTAGTCGATTTCTTTTTTTCGTTATTAGATAATAACGTACTGCTTCTGATATATGTAGTTAATATTTCATAATCACAAATTTATTTTAGAAATCGATAAACGGAAAACAATTACAGATCAATCTTGGTACGTTGCTTTGAACGGAAAAAAAAGTTCAGTGCCTCCTAATCGCCCAAGACGAGCTCACCGCTCCTCAATCACCCTAAACTATCTCACCGCCCCTCGGTACTCCTTCACCACCTACCGGGTGGCAATATCGCTCCCGGTGAGAAGCACTGATCTAGATGAAGATAAAAATAAGCTCAACTAAAATTATCTTTAAAAAATATAAATATAATCATAATTTATCTAGATAAAAAGTAGATAAAATTTTAAAAAATAACGATTTTATATTAAATTTACAAGAATAACTAAAATAAAATCAGACTTATCATGAGTAAACCATTTTGTATTTGTTTGAGGTATTTTAAATGTGCCTCGATTTTACAATGTTTTATTTGTTTAGAATTAATTATTTACCTAAAAATTTGTTATCGAATATCTATTTATTTCTGAATCTTATTTAAGCGTTAACACTTTCTGTAGTAAAACCGATTATGCTGGAAAAACATAAACTATAATAGGCTACTTCTATCTTCTGCTATGTACAATCGTAAAAAAACATATTCTTTTTAAAACAAATCAATTAACATATTTTTAAAGGGTAAAACTTGGTATTTTTTCTGAGCAAATTTATTAACTGAAATTGAAATAAATGTTAAAAATAGAAGTAAAGATAATGATAAGAATAAAAATGTATTGAAACCAAATTAACACTTTAAAAACTTTAGGTTTTTAGACTATAATCTAAAAACTTTGATAATAGTTTATAATCTATAAATTGTTATCATAAATATAAATAAATATTTTAATATATAATTTTATACATTGTATTTCTTCGACATTTATTATGAAATATGAATTTTTTAGTAAACACTACGGACAATTGTGTCGTGACGGAGTCATGAACGGTTATTGGTGATGGATAGCTACGGGTTTACCCATTTTGCGCAGTATATTTTACAATTTATTAATATAAAATGAATGAAAAGAAATCTACTCTACATGGAGCAATATTATTTAATCCATTAGACCCGGTTGTACGTAATTAGAGGATTTTTTATCAAATTTTATTAGTTTTTACCTGGAAACAGTAGATGCCGACGATAATGATTGTTCATTTTTATCCTTACCTAAAAATCTGTAACTGTCGTTATTTTATATGGTTATTCTTTGTGAAACGCGCGGATGTATAGTATATAAAAACATTCTATATTGTTATATTCTACAGTAAATAACTGCTACATTTGGTCAATACTCATTATGGTGTAGAATGTTAGTCGAAATCTAGAAAAACATATGGGTTCCTTTTTGATCAAATGAATTTTAACTACAAATATTCATTATTGAGTATTTTTGTTGCAACTACCACAGGCGGTACGCAATAAAATCTCCAAGTCCTCGAAATACTCAAAATATTAATTATATATTATATATAAAAAAAATATCTAGATAAATAAAAGTTTTCATATATGATAAATACATGTACAACGTTTATATTTCCTTCTTTTATAAAATAATTGATAATTAATAATTTTATTTAGATAATTATCTAATAGATTTATGTTGATAAGTCTCATCACTGGATGACACATATATATTTTGCATCTATACCTAAATAAAAACTGAATATAACCGTGTTCACCCCATTATAGGCATTCTCTGGGGGGGGTGAATTAAGGAGTAGTTGTTCCTGGTATGGTCGAATTGCACTTATTTTAGTTGAATTGTACTTGGGTTTAAAAAAGTTAATGGTCGAACTGCACTTGGGCTCAAAAATGTATTTCAATAAAATTATCATGCATTTGAAGGGGTTAGATTTATTTTATTTAGTTACATTTATTACCATTTAGTAATCATTAGCGTGGTTAAAAATTATTGTTTTATACATCACATTAATATATGTTAATTATATATGTTTACATTATAATTGTTAGATTATACATTATATTTTTTTTTTCGTATCAGGCGCCATACTCGTAACTATAAGTTAGTAATTTAGACTAGTTTATATATATATAACTGGTTTACAATTTAAAACATACATAGGTAGATAATATACAATTAAATAAATAAAATAAAATAAAATGAAATTTGGTATAGTAAGTGTTTCGACTAGATGTTTTCATTTGCCCAGTACTGGGCCACGTCCATTGCTTTCTGATTGGCAGTGGTTAGGTCTTCTTGCGTGCATGGTCCTGGTGCCAATAGGCATACCAATAAATGTGCCATCGTCTGAGTTGTTCCACAGTGGCAAAATGTCTCCTGATCATTTAGGTATCCCCATTTCAGCATGTTATCCTTAGATCTTTCTACTCCCACTCTCAGTCGATTTAATGTCTTCCACACATGCCATTGTAGATCGTGCTCTGGCGATAAATGTTCCGCAAGATCAATCCAGCCTCTAATTTCTTCTGTTTTAACTTTCCATGCATTTATTCTACTCTGGGAGGGGTCATTTTCTAAGGCACTGGACACTCTGAGAAAGCTTTACCTTGACTTTAGACGAGACATTGTAGTCGTTTGTCCGTACATAGGATGTCTCGGGTCGTTTGCCTGTTTTTGTCTTTCCGAGTTAGTGAAGATTAGTCGTCTTATTGATGGTGGAGTTATGCCTGCCAATAAGTATACTTTTTCATTAGGTGTGTTTTTGAAGCATCCTGTTACAATACGACATGCATCATTTAGAGCGGTATCTATTTTTTTTTTGCATGAGTTGATCTTCCCCATACTTCACATGCGTATTTCCCGACTGAAAAACAGAGGGACATTGCAGATACCCGTAGGGTTTGAGGTTGTGTTCCCCATTTTGATCCTATCAGTTTTCGGAGTAGACTGGTGTGTGTATTTATCTTTTTACTTGTCTTTTCGCAGTGATATTTGTACGTTAAAGTTCTGTCAAGAGTAACTCCTAAATATACTGGTGTATCGCAGTGTAGTAATACCTCACCTTTCCATGTGATTTCCAATTTGCGATTGGCTTCCCTATTTCTCAGATGAAATACGCAAAGAAGTGTATTATTCGGGTTTGTTTTGAGGTAGTTACTTGTATAATATTTGCTCGTGTATTCCAAGACGTTGGTGAGCTTTTCTTCAATTGTCTCAAAACTGCTATCCTGCACAGTTATTGCTGCGTCATCTGCATATATAAAGTGTTTAATTTTATCGTCATTTTATATATATTGGTCATTTGTATATATATTAAAAAGTGTTGGAGCGAGAACACTACCTTGTGGTAGTCCGTTTTTCGAGTTTCTCTATCTGCTGTGTTTCCCTGCCAGAGTGACAAAGAATATTCTGTTACTCATCAGAGACTCAATAATTTCCGTTAAATTAAAATCATTTGTAAGTTTATATACTTTATCTAACAGTAAGCCGTGTGATGCTTTTTTGGGCTTATTACGTTTGTATCTGTTATCATACTAGAGAAATTAATATAGGCAACCCAATGTGAGCTACCTGTAATATGATGGTGTAGGCAACGCACGAAACGACGATGGTGATAGGAGGGAAAGACTTAAAAATTACGGGACTAAGGAACATGAATTTATATACGGGAATAAGAAAATGAGTTTAATTATCGGGGGGGGAGGTCTCTGTGGTCGAATCGGTCTGGTGCAATGACCACAGAGCTCACACACAAATCAGACGAAATACTAAAATTAAACACCCAGGCCACACCTTACAAACTAACTTAAAATTACGTGATGACTAGAAGACGATGGTAACTGCAATTTACGGTGATTGGTAACTGGACGACCTGGACGGCCTCTCACACGCCACACCGGACGCTGGCAGTCTTACGTTTTGACGGTGGACGATATAGTGACCCGAAAGTCATCAGTGGCACAGCAGTTACACTAAAATTTATGGAATAGAACTCACGATAATTTGTAGAGGGTGGACACGCAGACAAAATAAATCACAACAATGAAAATGAGACCTTGTGGTTTGTTTATTGGTACTAATCGGCGAGAATAATAATGTTGCCACAATGGCAGAAGGGTAACAAAAATTAATAATAATGAATTGCCGCAATGGCGAACAAAGAAAGAAAAAAAAGTAAGAATAATAATAATAAAAGGTGCTTCAACAGCGACCGAACGACGAGCGAACAACGACAACGAATAATAAATAACAAAGTTGTCTCAATGGCTATAAAAAAACAATACAATTAATATAATAATAAAATTAATTCAGATATGTAATAATAATTTTACAAGAAAAAGTAAGAAAAACGTGAACTGCTAATAATTATAATAATAATAATAATAATAATAATAAGGGCATTGGCTGCATAATCACATCAAAAAATAATTAAAACCATATGATATTAAAATAATCCGATAACACAAAACGATAACAATAATAATAAATCAATTTACCTACACTTATTATTATAATACACGAACCTAACGACGAAAAAAGAAGAAATGGAAAACAGATAACGACGAGTCACCGCCGCCGTGTTGAACTTCAACCACATATTATCGATAACACTTTACGGCGGCACACCGTGGTTGACCGTGTCATAGGCCGCCGAGAGGTCAATGAAAGCCACGCCGGTAATTTGTTTTTTCTCAAATCCGTCCTCAATATGTTGGATAAGGTTAAGTATTTGTGCTGTGCAGGACTTACCTGGGCGGAAACCAGCTTGTTCTTTTATTAGTTTTTCATCTGTGGCTGGACCTAATCTGTTCAGTAACATCCGTTCATACAGTTTATTAGTGTGGCATAGCAGAGAAACTGTTCGATAGCTGGATGGTAGGTCAGGATTCTTTCCAGGGTTTAGTAAGGCTATTACTTTTGATTTTCTCCACACTTTAGGTAGTTTTAATGTATCTCTGATATTATTAAAGAGGTCTAATAGCCAACTTTTTGTCCTGTATTCAAAGTGCCGGATTTGTTCTAGACGCATATCATCTATACCAGCCGCTTTCCCGTTTTTTAACAACTTTATGACAGCTTCCAGTTCTATATCTAAAAAGGTACCTCCTAAACCCATATTTTCGTTTTCCTTGCGTCTATTGATCTTTGGTTTAGGCATCCTCGGTTTCTTCACCTTAGTAAATTGTGGACTATTTAATTAGGTGTTACTATAGGTATAGTGGGGGTCATTATTCAATCGCTTGGTAAGGTCCCAGGCTTTCTTGCTGCTTCGTTTCATATCTAGATCTGCTAAAAGATCACACCATTTCTTCCTTTTTTCGTCTGTAAGTAGTTTCAATAATTTATCTCCCTCTTCAATAGTTTCTTCGTCAAATGGGTTTTCTTCAAACATTCCCGTGTATTTGTTCAAAGTTTCCGTTAACTCTGGTGTTAGCACTGGTATGTATCGCGTTCGGCAGCCTCTTGGTATGTTTCTCCTAGAAATAGACTTTACTAATTCGATAAATTCGTCGTAATTCTCGGGTATTGGTTCTATAAACAGTATAGAACCAATCCACATTATCAAAAGCTTTTTCTAGATCGACGAAAGCTGTATAAGTTGTTTTTCTTTTTCTATTCTGTTTCTCAATAACTTGTCTTAGTGCTAGAATAGCTTCCCTAGTGCCTTTTCCTCTCTTAAAGCCAAATTGGTCCTCAGTTAGCAATTCATCTATTATTCGTTCCATTCTTTTTAACACAATTCTGGTATGGATTTTTGACGCATGTGCTATAAAACTTAGCGTTCTATGTTGTTCACATGTTTTTGCTGTTATTTTTTTTTGGAATCGGTACAATTATACACTTCGTAAAATCACTTGGCACCTGTCCAGTTTCGTAGCATTCTTTGATTATTTCATAAATGATCTTTTTGGTGTTTTTTCCGCAATTTTGTATAAGTTCCGCAGGAATTTCATCAACTCCGGGTGCTTTCTTGTTCTTCAGCTCCACTAATGCCTTATCAAATTCTTCTCTCATTATACTTTGATCTATTTCTTCCGTATTATTTTGATGTTCTTCATTTATCTCTGCGTCTATTGTCATATTTTCTTCGCGATACAGTTGCTCTAGGTATTTTTTCCAACATTTTGCTACTTCTGCTTCTTCATATATGATATTGCCATTTGCTTCTTTAATACTTGTAATTTTAACTTTTCTTTCCTTAAAAAATGTTCTAACAATCCCATACGCCTTATCCATTAATCCCACTTTTAACGCTTCATCAATATCCTGACAAATGTTATTCAAAAATACTTCCTTGCTTTTCTTGCATTCTCTATTTATTGTATTTTTTTAATTTCCTGTATTTTTCCTTTCCTCTTTGGTCTGTAGCATTTTATATTTCCTCCTTTCATTAATCATTTCCAGGATTTCTTCGTTTATCCATTCCTTCCTTTTAGTTTCTTTTGATTTCTCTAAAACTTCATCAAATTGTTTAATATACATCGTTTAATATTTCCCCATTTCTCTTCAATGCTTAAAGTACATTGTGCGTCATAGGTCTCCATTATCGCTCTATCTGTCCTTTCTTTGTATGAATTATTGATTTCTTCCACTTTAAGGTTTGTCAGTTGAAAGCGTTTCATACTTTTTTTTCTTTTGTAATCTCTTAAACTTAAGTTCACAATGCATTAGGATCAGGTTATGATCGCTATTAATGTCGGAACCTGGATAACTTTTACAATCTTTAATTTGATTTTTGTATCTTCCTCTTACCAGTATATAATCTATTTGTGCTCTTCTTATATCGTCGGGAGCTTGCCACTTATATCGTCTTCTTTTGTGATGTTTGAAGTGTGTTTTCGTTATTATTAGATTATTTCGCACACAGAACTCTAATAAGATTTATCTTCTTGGATTTCTAATTCCAAGTCCAAACTTGCTGACAATATTCTTTTCTTTCCCTTCCCCCACGGTGGCATTAAAGTCTCCTAGGATAATAAGATTTTCTTCTCCTTTGTCTTTATTAAATCATTTAGTTCTTCATATATTATTTCTACTTCATCGTCCTCTTTTTCTGAGGTGGGCATATAAACTAGAATTATCACAGTATCTATTAGTTTGGTATCTAACTTGACTAGAATTATTCTATCGCTATATTGCACATAGCCTTTTACCTTGTGTCCCATATTTTTTTTGAAGAACTATTCCTACTCCTTTTGTACCAACCTTCCATCTTCTGTTCCCGAATAAATTATTCTATATTCTCCTAACCAAAAATCACCCGATTTAAGCCATCTCATTTCCGAGACGCCCAGAATATCTATTTTAAGTCTCTTCATCTCAACTTTTAAATTCTCTAATTTCCCTGTCTGCAGAAGTGTTCTGACATTCCATGTACCAACTCTCTTGATATCATGACCTTTCATCTTCATTCTTAAAGAATTAACTTCTTGAATAGTCCCCACCCGGAGATCCGATTGGAGGACTATTTTACCTTCGGAATTTTTTACTGTCAAAGCATTCATACTTTAAAATTGCTGATACTTAGGATATCTATTAAGATCTTTAATGCGATAGTTTCCTCTTACTTTTCGCATTCTATGCCGTTGACGAGAAAATTGACTCGTTCGTCCGCCTTTAAGAGCAATTTCTTACCCTAAGGACAAGAGAGTGCCCTTCCCTTTACTAGCGTAAAGAGTTGCTCCTTATACCGGGAGTAGTCCGGCTTAATCCCACTGTAATCTCCTGCCTGAGGATTTCCGCCAGTGGAGCTCGGGGCCCCGGGTGTGCTAAGCCCGTAGTATATGTCATACTATTGACATATACTTCCCCTGAGGGATATATATGAGTATATGTTATTATTATATAATATTATCTGCGTTATCTAAATGGCACGAACTATTATATAATGCTATTAAATAAGTACGCTGTAGCGTTCTTCAACAGAAAGATTCGTAATATTTTTAGAGGGTTTTCCATTATAACTCTTTTTTTAAACGAGTGCAGTTCGACCATTACCTTTTTTCAATCCAAGTGCAATTCGACCATTTATTTGTAGGTAATAAGTGCAATTCGACTATTCCGGTTGTTCCGGTGACCTTTTTTTCTTCGATTTTTTGTTTCTTATTATTTATATATTTTTGAGAAAATATATGTTTGAAGTTTGTCCCTCTCCCCTATAAAAGGGTGTAAAGACGCTACTAGTTTACCTTCTTAGGACACTGTTAAACATGTTACCACAAGCCAACGAATATTCCTTAATTTATTATACTCACTTTCAAAATTTGAACCATAACCTCAACATATAAATATAGTATTCAGTAGCATGGTGATTATCTATAAACCATAATGCACAACATATATTTCAGTACCTAACCACCCACTTTTTTCTCTAGCACACCATCCTTGAAATGCTTTCAAAAACATAATTGAAGAAAACTAAAAACTATTAAAGATTAAAATACCTACCTACTTACATTTTACCAACTCAAACTTCAGATTAACAAATTTTATGAAACTTTTCCCTCTTCTATTTTATTATTAACTAAAAATACAAAATGTTGATTTTATGGTCGTGTTATATTCTTATAGACTACCACGAGTTCTGTTTCATTCGTGTTTCGTGTAAGTAATATATTTAAACTTGGAAAATTGATATATGAGTATTCATCCAAAACATTTACTCATCAAAATCCAACCACACACATACCCACTCATTATCAATTATCATGTACCGTTTTATCAAAAATTAATACTTACTTAAGTATTATAATACAATTTGCAAATGGTTAATTTTTATAAAAATATTAACTTAAATAAAATACCATCTCGTATGTCATTTTTATATAAAAGGAAAACAGTAAGGGTACGCTAGAATATATCTAATAATTTAGTTGGGGTATTCAGCTCCCCCCCTCCAAGTCAAGTATGACTTGTATTGTCCTTAATATTTTACTTTAGCTCCAATAAATCGGTCTCTGAATTATTGTTTAATTTACATTTTTATTACATTAAAGGTCTACCCAAATAAGCTAATTAGATTAATTAGATTTTAGTTACAAAATAAATCTACCTAAATTCGCTGCTCTGCGCTGTCAATTGTTCTAACATTGAATGCACAATAAGCACGCACACCATCATATTATCAAAATTGTCTACGTAGCGCCTACGTAGTTGCAACTACAATATACGTCTTATATATAATCTTTTGTATTAAATTTGATAAAAACAGATTGCCAACAGCAGAAAAAATATCAATAGTGGTTATTTCTACTATTGATCAAACTGCATAAGATACTATGCAGGTCGACACAGGTACAGTTCTACTCTGCCTTGTCATGCCTCCCAATATGCGCCCGGTCTTAATCGTATTTTTAATTTTAATTTTTTTTTAGCGTAATATTCTGACACACTAAGGTTACTAATCATACCGAAAAAGAAACTTTTATGAATAAGACTATATTGTCGAAAGTGAAGTATAGAAACCTTCCTCCTTCATCAAAGAATGCTAAACCTACACCCTTCTAGATAACAAAAATTTAAAATATAAATGATCACAATATAATAACTGATAACCAGTAGCGGTGCGTGAATAAAATTTAAAGGGAGACTTAACTTTTGAGTAACCAAGGGCGTCCGCAGAAATGTGTCAAGGGGGGG